TGGAATTAAGATCACTGGAATTATTTGCATGACAAACTAGCATTCATGTGTCTCAAGATGTCTCTCCCCCGGCCAAGTCTGAATGTCAGATGCCAGTGTAGTGTATTTCAAGCCAAGGGATGCTTTATTTATTTATGCATCATCACACTTGTTGAACTGTAAGACATCTTCAAATTTCCTTGGGACTTTTCTGAGAAATCCAGTACAAGTACCAACTCGTTTTAGTTGCAATCTAGAAACTTATAATTGAATTGCTTCTCTCCAAGAGTCTACCACAGGCACACACTGTGGGAATCATAAATAAAGTGAAAGGGAGAGGTTAAGGATATATAATGCATATTAGTTTGATGTAGAAAATAAAAAAAAAAATTGGCAAATGGGTAAAAATAGTTTTATCATGCTTTTCTTTATGTTTATAGACTAGACTGAGTTCAGAAAGATCAATTATTTCTTAGTACAGAAGATAATTCAGACGTTATACATATAAATGTACAGATACACTTTAGGTTTTTTTTTCTGTACATTTTAAAAATAGCTTCGCTTAGTGAATTTGCTAGTATTGCCTTAACAAAATAACCACTGACTGGGTGACTTAAACAACAGAAATTATTTTCTTAAAGTTTGAGAAGCTCAAAGTCTGAGATCAAGATGTTGACATACTTGGTTTATCCTGAGTCCTCCCTCCTCTTGGTTACCTTCTCCCCATGAAGCTCTTTGGTTCCCTTCTCCCATGTCCTCACATGGCCTTGACCTGACTTTTTCTCTTAGGAGCATGGGAGTAGAATCCATTCCAGCCTAAAGTAATGTAGTTGCTTGTTTAAAGGCCCTATCTACAAATATAATCACATTCTGAGATGTACTAGCAAATAAGACTTCACATGAATTTGGTGGGAATATAATGTAGGGATAATCTTTAACAGTAGTGTGTCTGCTAATTATTTGGGAAGCACTTCTATCTAGTTCTTATTTTTCAGGGTGAATCTTCTAATGGTTCAAATGACAGAGGAATGAAATCACTGGTAAATAAAATGACTGTCGCTTTGAAGACAAAATCCGTTAATGTCAGGGAAAAAGTTATCAGTTTTATTGAGAATACATCAACTCCTGTGGACCGGTGAGTATTCTTATGTAGTATAAATTTGTTTATTTTTTATTCATATTATTAATGCGTATTAACTGTGCATAGCAGATTTCACGTCATGTTTCCATACATGTGTACATTGTGCTTTGATGAGTAAAAGAAATGTGTTGCAGTAAGTAAATATCAGTTAAAAGTGTTACAGGAAAGGATCTTAAAGTACATTTTCTATTAGATTTCATAGTTTTCTTTTTACGGATGTACTTCACTGCTATAAAATTTGACTATCAAGATTAGTCTCCTTTTTTGCTGCTCAGAATGATTTACAAATAATCTACCCCCTGATGTCATTCATTTAAATACAACTACACAAATATCACTTTTAGGGGCATTCTCTCTCTCTCTCTCTCTCTCTCTCTCTCTCTCTCTCTCTCTCTGTCTCTCTCTCTCTCTTTTTTTTTTTTTTAACAAATGTCCCTTTTGTATGGTGGTGCAGAACTGCAATCATAGCTTCTCAAGAAGCTGAGGCAGGTGAAACACAAATTTGAGTCCAGCTCCAATAATTTAGAGCTTGTCAAAATAGAATGAAATTACAAAGGCTGGGGGCATAGCTTAGTGGAAGAGTGGTTACCTTATATGCCCAAGGCCCTGGGATCCATCCCCTCCCCCCCAAGTCCTTAAATAACTCAGTATGTGTTGTATTTTGTGATACCTGCTTCCCAGATGTCAAATGGATGGGGAGTCTTGTATCAGATGTAGTGATCTTACAGAGCTACTTTAAAACCTGGCAACTTGGTCATACTGGATATGGTAGGATCCAACTTTCTTAAGTTTAGATCTTCATACAAATTTTTTTACAAATATAAGTGAATTCCATTTTCCTTGTGACTCATAAACCAGAGGTGCAGTGAACAATTGATAAATAAGTTTGAGAATTATGGTATATACTGTTCATTATAACTGTGTATTTTTTATCTGATTGATCTTATGTATAAAGTTTAAACCTAACCTTTTAACAAAAATTTTAAAATTTATTTTATTTTTTATGTATTTGGTACAGGGTCTCACTACACAGCTCGGACTCATAGTGGTCCTTCTATTTTCATTCTCCCCAGCACTGGGATTACAGGCATGTGCCACCATGCCTGGTTTTAGTAACTGACTCAGGGTGCCCGGGGGTAGGGCTAGTGCAGCATATAGTGCCAGCTATGGAGCCCAGGTCCCTGTGCTTGCCTAAGCCAAACCTAACCTTATAATTTTGAAGTTTGTTTCTAAGTTAGCGTACACTATTTGATTTCATTTTTATGTCTTCTAGTATCTTGGAAAGTTGAAATATATTGAGTTTAAGAACTGAATGCTAGGAATTTGTTCTTTATCCCTTTTTTAGTATAGTACATGTACATATATGTACATGTATTCACATTTAATAAATAGCAAAAGAGAATGGAATGGAAGCCAGGCATGGTGGTGCATGCTTATAACCCCAGCATTCAAGAGGCTGAGGCAGGAGGTCATTCAGAACTACAGGGTAAGACCCTGTTCTCAAAAAGAAAAAAGAAGGCAATGGGTTATTTTTAGTAATCCAAAAATTTGTACCTTAAAATAGTCTACTGATAATTATTGAAAGGGGCTGGGGAGATAGCTCACTGACACCATGCCTCCTTGGCAAGTGCAAGGTCCTGAGTTCAATTCCTGGTACCAAAATAAGGAGCCTATCTTCTAATAATTATTAAGTGTTTTGTCAAGCTAGAAAAATTTGTTTGCTCAGTAATACCTGTTCTCAAAAGCCTTTTTAATGCTAAATTACAGTATTATTACTGCTACATTTTGTGGCTTGAACATTTAAAATTTTACTTTAAAATAGGCTAGGGATAACTAATTATTTGAAGATATTGTTTATTAAAATATCACCAAAAACTGGCCTTTCTTAATTTTTTTTTTCATACTTGGGGTGATTAAAATGTTTTCTTTGTAATGTGAAATTGGGTTCAAAAACTGATGATGCTGTTTCACTTTTTTATAATCCTTTTGTTCTGTCCTCTACCTTGATTTGCTGTAGAATGTCTTTCAATCTTCCTTGGCCAGACAGATCATGTACAGAGCGGTAAGCCAATGCATAGAGCGGCTTTGTGGACGCATCCTCTCTCAGCATTCCTCATGTACCCCTCATGCTACCTATAAGTGCCTTGTGCTATCTTGGCTAAACTGTCATGTAGCTATTTCAAAAGCTGACCACTTCCTATTCTGCTTGTAGGATATGTCATGCTGATGAATCTGTTTTTTGCTGTTGCTTGATCATTTTGATTTTTTCTTGCATGTTTCTACCTCTCATTCTTAAAATATAAATCAAACTCCTTCATACCTAAGACATAAGTCCTGAAGTTTTTATTCTGAGGCAGGGAAGGGTAAAACAAGAGTATGTATACAGTCAAGCTTTGGAGATACTTTACTACAGTACTGTCTTCAGAAAATTATAGTCCCAAAATAATAAACAATTTTTTTGTCAGTGACTGAATCCAAGAACCATATACATGCAAAATGTCCATTCTGCCGCTAAGCTATATCCCCAACCTCAAAATTTTAAATTTGTTTACATTGTGTAAATTTATATTATTTCAATTTTTGTTACTGTTACTGTACAGTGCAATTTTCAGAGGAAATTGCTTCTTTTAAAATTTTAGGGTGAGTTCAATCCCTGGTACTGCAAAAAAAAATTAATCTATTTTTGAATCATCTATTTTCTGCTGTTAAAAGACCATTAAGGTAGTATAATTTTATTTAACTTCTAAATTTTCTCCTAGAATCTTAATTTTTCAGTTTCTGTTGTTCACATAGATATAATTTATCTTGAAAACATAATTTAGTTAAAAGTAGAGTAACTTGAATTTCTGAGCTCAATATTTTTTTTTTTTAAAGTTGAGATGGATTTTTTTTTTAGCCCCCTGGCTCAGGCTGCCTTAAGGGCAGGTCTGGTAAGGCCTGAGGAGCTGGGGATCGAACCACAGAATCCTGAGCCTGACTGCTTTGCTTAAGCAGGCACTTCAACAACTGAGCTAATGGGCAGGCCCCCTGCGCCCAATAAATTAAGTAAAAGTTTGTCCAAACTATTTTGTAGGTGTATCTGTTATTTATCAAAAGAAATTAAGGAAAAAATTTTAAACCTACTTTTAGAAATAGCCCAATCAAAGCTAAGCATTGAAAATAAACCCAAGCTATTGAATTTCATTAACTTTTAGTCAGTCTTAGGAAACATCTCAGAGTAATCATCAGCATTCTTATTCATAAAAACTTCAATGTGTCTTTGTCATACTTTCTGGTATGGGGTTCTGGCATTTACTGTAAATGTGATCTTTATTTCTTATTTGTGTGTGCGGGGGGGTGTGTGTTCTACCAGTTTATGCTTTTAATAGGACAGAACCTATAATTTAATTTCATGAAAATTTATAATCGAGATGGCACTAATGCATTTGTAGATAAAGAAAACGGTTACCTTTCCTTTCCTTTTGATGGCAAGCTGAATCTGAGTTTTAAGGTTGTTTGAACTACCTACTTCTGTCATATCAAACTGCCTGTGTTTCTCAGCTTTCCGTTATCGTGACAAAACATCTGAAATAATTTAAAAGGAAGAAAATTTTGTTTTTGCTCACTTTGTGGAGAATTGAGCTCATTTCTTTTGGCAGGAAGCATATATGGTGGGGAAAGCAGAGAGGAGCAAAACCATTCACCACAGCTGTGCACAGTGGACCGTGCCTACAATGCCAGGTCCTCAGAACCTGAGGCAGGACCACAGTGGCAGCCTCGTGTGGGCAGTTTAGCAAGATCCTATGTCAGTATTATAAAAAGGCTGGGCACATGAAGCCTAGTGGTAGAGCGCTTACTTGGTATGTGTGAGGCTCTGAGTATTTAGCAGCATATTCACATGGGCACGCATACAACACACACACCGCATGCACCCCCTAATACCTGTTCATTTAATGGCTGGATGAAAGAGTTCTAAAGAGTATTAGTCCCATTATTCTCTTTTAAGGGCACACCTCCATTGACCAAAGATCTCCCCGTAGACTGCTTCTTAAAAAGATGGTACTACCTTCCTGTAGCACCAGACTGGGGGAGTAATACCCACAGATTTCAACTAAGACATTTTCTAATGAACAGAGTTGAAAGTTTATAAGAAAGCCCTGGGTGAGATAACATCAAATTGTGTGCCTTTATGACTTACAACAAAGAAAAAACCTAGTCTTCCTTTAATAGTGGCCAATCTTGGTTTGGGGATATAGCTCAGCAGCATGCGCCTGCCTGTCAAGCACAGTGTTCTGAGTTTGATTCCCAGTATGGGGATTAAAAAAAAAAAAAAAAAGGCTAATCTTAACAGAAAACTGTTTTTCCACCTAGAAAGGTATAGTATTTTGTTCAGATATTGTAACTTCACCTTTTGGTTTTGGATTATGTGAAAAGTAATGTGTTAAGTACATTAAAGAGAGGTCAGTCAAACTTCCTGCAGAACTAACAGGTTTAGATCTATGTGTCATTTATGTTTCTGCCATTTCACGCAAAAAAATTGGCAGTAATAAAAATGGGAAGAAAAATTCTATAAGACACTTGGATGTAGAAGAGAAGCCTTGAGCACTCTTGCTAGAATTTGAACACTTAGTACCATAACCTGTTTTGTCTAGTAAATATATTATGTAGCACTTACTATACACTAAGCATTGTTCTAAGAGCTTTTGTGAAATAATTAACTGATTCCGTTCTCACAGTAACCCTGAAGGACAGATATTGTTATTACCACTGTACAGGTGAGGAACAGCACAGAGATTATGTAACTTCCCTAAAACCAAACAGAGGGGGCCAGGGAGATGGCTCAGTAGAATAAGTGCTTCCCTGGCAAGTGCAAGGACCTGAGTTAAATCCCCGGTTCCACCAGAAGAACCCCCCAAAAGCAGATCTTCAGTTTTAAGTGAATATTAAAATTGTGTAAAATTAAATTTTACAATTTAGGAACTTTCAGCCTATCAAATCCTTATGCCACTTTTGCTGACATAATTTATCTTCTTTCAGTTTCCTTAACATAGCTGTCCTAAAATGGGTGGCATATAGGCAGCAAAGAATATTTACATTTGTCTCAATATCCAGGGATGCGTGGTGGAAATGTTTGGTAACACCTTAAATGATGATTTCCCCTAAAATTCTTTGCTTATAGGCATGTAAGCAGCAGTGACCGAGTGGGCAAGCCTTACCGTGGTGTAAAGCCGGTGTTCAGCATTGGGGATGAAGAAGAATACGATACAGGTGTAGTAATGTGCTTGTCCATAGACTTCCTCCTCATTCCTCAGGAGTGATTACGGAGTCATCCCAGGAATAGCATACACCTTCTTCATAAGACAGCACAATAGCCAGGGATGTAGCTCAGTGGCGCAGCGCCTGCCTGGCAAATGCAAGATCCTGAGTTCAATTTCTGGTGTCAAAGAAAATTACACTGACTTTCTTCTGCAGAGAGAATTGGAGAGTTTGTGAGTTTCTGTGAAAACTTCAATTTTAGGTATCTTAAATTGCGTTTATTAGAAATCCAAAAGTAGGCTTTGGACATTAGGGATTCCCGGCTGAGGCTGAGGAGATGTCTAAGCTGATGAAGTGATGGTTAGCAGTATAGAAGTTGTATTTAGATGCATATGTGTGAATTTAAATTCCTTTAATCATCCACTGTGAGAGTTGTGGGACTGGGGTTCAGGGAATTGTAAATTGAAATATCTGAAAGGAACCTTTGAAACTGGAAGCAGTAACCTGAAGGGCCATGTGTTGATTATACTGTGGCAGGGAAGTTTACCTTTGTGGCAGTCATTTACATTTAAAGAAGTTATTACTTTCATTTATAATTTCATCCGACTGTCCTAATTAATACTAAAGACAAGACTCCTTTTTTGTGGACAACGTGAAAGGGTGTGAGCAGTGAGAGAAACACGTAGGTTTCACTGTTACTTAAGCTGGATATATGAGATTTCCTTGATCATTATGTCTCTATATTTTGAAGTATTTATTTTTAAAAAGACAAGAAAAGAACACTTCTCAGTATTAACCCTAGAGACTGTAATTCTTCTTTCTTAAGTTTGAAAAACAAGGTTAAACTGTTCTATATTTTTTGCATAAAATTTTTTCTGACTTATCCCTGCATCAATTTTATTATATTTTATTTTATTCCTTTTTAAGTGTAGTTTTAGTATTTTCACCTTACTTTCTTACCATATAGACATATTTCATAGCAATGTTTCGTGCCCTAAGAAAATCTAGTGCAGGGGTTTGGTTTTTTTTTCAGTTAGGAAACGTACCATTTTTAAAGTTGGCAATATTCACATTTAATACTTTCAATTCTTTGTAGATGAAATTGACAGTTCTTCAATGTCAGATGATGATAGAAAAGAGGTTGTCAACATTCAGACTTGGATAAACAAGCCCGACATCAAGCATCATTTTCCTTGTAAAGAAGTGAAAGAAAGTGGACATATGTTTCCTAGGTACCTTTAAAGATGTCTTTAGAAGTATAATTGAATTTGTAGGAGTTAATCATGTAAAACTGAATTACAAAGACCTTTTACTTATCCAGCTATAATAGGATATAATTTTCTTCTCTCGTCTTTTATTGTGTCTTGACGTTTAAAAATATTTGTGTAATTTTTATCTTGAAAATAGTACACTAAGCACTTCTAAAATAATCTCCTAGATTCACTTGTTCTTACCACTTCACCATTACATTTATGGATGTGCATATGTACACCTATAGTTGTCTAACTTTCTCATGAAGTTTTATAGATATGACACATCACAACTAAATTCTTGGGCTAGGGATATAGCTCTGTGGCATAAGTGCCTGACTGGCAAGTGCAAGGTCCTGAGTTTGGTCCCCAGTACCACAAAAGAAAATAAAACTTGGGCTGGTGAGATGGCTCAGTGGTCTAAAGCACCTACTTAGAACAAGCTAAGCTAAGCAAAGCACAGGGACCGCAGTTCAGTCCCCCAGCACCACATGCCAGCCAGCCCGACCCCCTGGTGGGCTGAGCTGGCCACACACACACAAAATAAATAAATAAATAAATAAACAAACAAACAGTTTAAAAAAAAAAAAAGAAAACTGATATTCTGTACCAACTAAATTCTTTAGCATAAATATCCCAAGTATAAGAACATTCTTCACAACTCCAGTGACATTACCCCAACTAATGTTGAAAAAATGTGTACCACTCAATATACAGATCATAGAGTTTTCAGGGTGTCTCCAAATTACCTTTTATAGGCTGTTTCATTGTGGATCCAGAATCCAGTTTTAGTTAAAACGTTGCATTTGTTTGCCTCCTTGTTCTCACTCCCTATACTGCTGTACTAGACCTTTACCTCTCACTTGCTCTTTCTCTTCATGATGTACAAATGCTTGAGTCCACCACAGTTGTCCTACAGATTATTCCATATTCTGGACTTGTCTGATTCTTGTGTTACTAATACTGTCTTTATTGTATTATAAATCTGTTATTGTGTTAAAATGAGCTCAGATAGAAGGGGTGTGTTAATAATTCTGTGGTCATTTTGTCTTTAGATTCAGGCACACAACATACATGAAGTATGTAAGGAAGCCCAACCATTGCCTAGTGGTCTTTGATACTAGATACAGACCATGCTGTGTTGATGCAGAACAGTTTTGAATATATGTAAAATTACTATTTTAATGCTTTTTATGTTGCATTTACAGAGTATTATGCCTTTTATATTTATGGTAGTAAAACTTTAATTTTGCATATGATTAAACAAAAGTTAAATTTATTGCGTAGTTTATAGTTTTTATACTAAAAGTAATTTTATTTAGAGATAAACATTTTTTATAATTAGAGTTATTGAAACAGCACCTCTTTTGAATTTTATTGAAAACATTTTGTCTTTTAATGCTCTTTTTTCTCTCTCTCTCTCAAGTCATCTGTTGGTTACTGCCACGCATATGTACTGTTTAAGGGAGATTCTTTCACGGAAAGGATTGGCTTATATACAGTCACGACAAGCACTAAATTCTGTAGTTAAGATCACATCCAAAAAAAAGCATCCTGAGCTAATTACCTTCAAGTATGGAAATAGCAGTGCTTCAGGAATAGAAATCTTGGCTATTGAAAGGTAAGATGTTTCTTAGAATAATATCTGAATTATTGCAAGTCATTATTAAGCACATTTTGTTTTCTCACGTTTGGGGAATGGGTGGTGGAACAAGATACCTGAAGCACTTGTATAGTATTCCTCACTGTCTTTTTTTCTCCCCAGCTCTGAGTCATATGTGGTTTCAGTAAGTGCCATAGTTAATTGCATAGCCCCCTCCCCTAGCCTGTGCAGTACTGGGAATTGAACCTTTGCCCTGAGCTACGTCCTTTTTTCCCTCCCTCCCTCCCTCCTCTCCTTGCATTCTTTCATTCTTTCTGATGGGTTCTTACTAACTTGTGAAGACTGGGCTTGCACTTTCCTTCCTTGCCTCAGCCACCTCCAAGTAATTAGTACTACAGTCGTGTACTACCGTGCCCATCTTTAATTTCATAGATTTTTTTAATACAATAGAATCCATTCCAGTGTTGCACTACATATTGGTTTGCAGTGAAATAAGAAATTTATCTTAGAATATAAGTCAATGTTCTTACTTTTCTTCATCAGAAAATTCTTTTGGCTTCCCTCCTAAGCGCAAGGGCCTGAGTTCAATCCCCGGTTCCAAAAAAAAAAAAAAAAAAAGAAAATTCTTTTGGAAAAAAAAAAATTCTTTTGGGCTTAAGGATATAGCTCAGTAGTAAAGAACTTCCTAGCATATGTAGGGCTGCAGATTAAATGTCCAGTACTAAAAAACAACAAAACAGAAAAAGTTTTTGACTGCTGTCTGTGAAGAGTGTGGTGATGTAATACAGGTTGAGCATCCCTGTCTAAAAATTTCACATGCAAAATGCTCTAAAGTCCAAAATACTGTG